TATTGTAGACGATTTTTTGCGTTTAGCGCAATTATGGGCACTTGAGGCAATGAACTCGCGTGAAATTACGCATCAGATTATTCAATAGACTTCACTTAATTGACGAACGAACTATAAAATGATACTTCTCAAAATGTATGAAGAATAAATTATTTTTGTCTCAAAGTAATCAATACATACTAGTTTATTTTTGAAATGTCATGAATTTATATATAGGTTATTTTTAAATTTCATTATTTCTATATTTCATCAAATCACCCGAACTAAGGCTATATCGACTGCCATGTTCTTCTGATATAACTTTCACCAGAGGGCGCAAATATCATCGTGAACTTATGCCTATTTTTGAGGTTGCAGAGGATTGGCTCCTGACGCTTTGTGAAGAAACCAAGCCACATTATGATTTGATTTTTTTTCTGTAGCATATTGAAGGTTCATTCTAGGGCGGATACTATCTGAAAATCTTGAACAAGCAGTATAAATATTTTTTTTTCGTCAGCTAATAATGCTATATTCAAATACATTTTTGAAACTTTTTTTTTTCGAATTTTGAAAAATGAGATAGTATCCGCCCTAATTTGAACCTTTGTCTATATGATGGCGTTTAAAAATATACTATATGCCAAACTGTTTTCCCATAAAGCGTCAGGAGCGAGAGCGCTGTATTCATCATTTTTCCAGTCCTATTGCCCACTCTGGAAAATAGTTTCATAAACGGACATATTTTGGAGGTTTTAGTAATTTCATGGCCAGCCATGAATATAAATTGATAATGAACGACCATTATTGGTATGTATATTAGGTAAAAAGTCGTGGCTGGACCTCCTGGCTGGTTTCACACTGATTTATTTATTGACCGCCTAGAAACGATGAAAAAGTTATTGATACTTCCGGTGGCTCTGGCATCGCCAAGAGTAAATGCGCGGGTTCGGCTGATATTTGGGCTTTTTTACAGTTGCAACTGTTTATTATACAAAGATAAGAGCCAAAAAGAAGGTGACAGTTCTGAGCCGTTGTCAGCATACACTCTGTGGTTGAAATAAAAATATTATATAAACGGCCTGCTCGTAAAGTGGCACATCATCGCCCGGGTTCACGGGCGTAAAGTAGCACTTTAGCGCCCTAGGGGGTAAAGAAGTACCGCGGGCGGTAAAGTGGGTGATCGTGCGGTAATTTCACTATTCTTCTAGTAATTTCTAGTAGACTACCATTCGATTTTTCTTCGTCAGTGGCATACATCGTAAACAGTAAGAGAGTAAATTGTATCAATAGCGATTCATTTGTATATAAAGGCGAAAATGTACCTGATAAGGATATAGCCGATCAATTTGCACATTTTTTTGCGTCAATTTATGAAACTGATAAGTCTACATATAGTCTAAATTTTATTGATGATGTTAGTGTTAGTAATGATACCTTGGTTATAAATGAAATTGGTGAATTAGATTTAGATCAAGCGATGAAAAAACTCAAGCCTAAAAAAGCGGCTGGTGTTGATGGAATTCCACCGTATATCCTTAAAGGATGTTATGAATGGATAAAGCAACCTCTTCTTCACATATTCAATCTGATCATCCGTAGTTCAGTCTTTCCACTCGTATGGAAAAATGCAATCATCACGCCAATATACAAATCAGGTAATAAAATGGAAATTGAAAACTACAGGGCAATATCTATTATGTGCGCTCCCGCAAAATTATTTGAGGAAATTATCTACAACAGACTTTTTAAACACGTTGAAATGAACATTGTAAACGAACAACACGGGTTCATGAACAAAAAATCGATAAATACGAATTTACTTTCATTCACAAACACTGCTAATAATGCCATGGATGACAAAATGCAGTTAGATACCATATTTACAGACTTTAGTAAAGCCTTTGACAAGGTGAATCATGACATTCTATTGAGAAAAATTCATAAGTTTGGATCATCGGCAAGACTTTTAGAACTTTTGAAAAGTTATCTAGAAAACAGAAATGTTGTTGTTAGGTATAATGGTAATACTTCTGGAAATGTTCATGCTAACTCAGGAGTACCGCAAGGATCAAACCTGGGCCCTTTGCTTTTCATTATTTTCATTAATGACTTACCCTCGATGATTAAGTATTCACGATGCTTGTTATTTGCTGATGATTTGAAAATATTCAAGAGAATTCAAACTGTTAGAGATTGTGTTATGCTCCAAAAGGATGTAAATTCATTGTACGAATGGAGCAATGAATTTAAATTACCATTTAATGTAAAAAAATGTTCAGTAATGTCAATATCAAATGCTAAAGAACAAATAATTTTCGATTATAAAATGGATGATGATCATCTGCGGAGATGCACAGAAATTAAAGATCTTGGTATAACGTACAATAATAAACTATCATACACTAATCATATTGAGAATACTGCGAAGTCTGCAAGTCGAACACTTGGTTTTATAATCAGACAAGGCTCTGACTTCAGACATATAAAAACATTAATCACCTTATTTCACACTCTTGTGAGACCTAAACTGGAATTTGGTTCACTACTCTGGAATGGAGAATCGCAAACTACTCTGAAATCATTAGAAAAAGTCCAAAACAGGTTTCTGCGACATTTATACTTCAAAAAATATAGAAGATGGCCCGATTACAATATTGTTAGATCATCTCAACTTAGGATAGAATTTGGTATTGTTTCCTTGGATAATAGAATAAAATTGAATATGATTTCATTTTTGTATAAAATGATAAATTATAAAATTAATTCTCCTGATCTCTTAGCTCTTATTCCTTTCAATGTGCCTGCTCGCCGAACCAGATTCCCTCTTATGTTTAATACATCACTATTGTCCGTGACAACCCGCGCTCCTCTTGCAAACATGCTCCGACTAGCCAATTATATTAATACATTAATTGATGTTGATTGGTCTCTGACATTAAACAGACTCAGAAAACTCATTCTTCAACAACAAATATCCATCAGCATATAATTTTTACTGAAGCAGATACAACGAATATTTTAACACAGTATACTTCGTACTGATGTCCCCTGCAATTCTCCTGAACATTAATTTATATATTAGTTTTTAGTTTCGAAAAATCTATATTAACTGTATTTCTGTTATATATTATTCATGTAATTAGGCCAATAGGCCTGTGTGAATATAAATAAATAAATAAATAAATAATTCACCCAGATAAATTCAAAATCAATAATTATTAATTCCATATTAACACTCCATAAATGTCTAAAACGATCGTGCATAAAATGTTGTATGTATTGCATTATTTCGGGCGTAACTTGCTTTCATGAACCTTGAATGTCAATATTTGAGGAGGCGATTCTTGGGCCCATTTTGAGAAGAAAATTTCATATGAACGTATGACCTGAACGTCTCAACTTTTGAGATAAAGGGGGGAAAGTTCTCAAAAATAAATAGTTTTTATTTCTGACAGTGACATTATAAGCTTATATCGTCATCGTTACGATATCTATAATGAGGGTCATAACTCCCTTGGGATGTTATAGATGCTATAATTCCCTCTAGCTGAAATTGAATAAGAAATGCATAGCAACAACCAAGCAATAACGTAGCAATAAGGAATCTCCTATTCGCGGTAGTCAAGATCATCATCTGACGTTCTGATGACATTGAAACTATACGGAAAAACATGTCTAACTTCCAATCGGGAAGGTATCTAATGAATGAAATCAGTCAGAAATAAAATTATCTATGTATCACGGGAATTATAGAGCCTTAATAACCTCTGGCAATTGCTGTCCCTCGGGCCAGAGGCCCTCGGGACGCAAACTTTGCCATCGGTAATTAAGGCCCTCATAATTCCCTTAATACATAAATAACTATTTATCAATATCTGTAATACCACTCTAGATATTCTAACAAAAAATTGGCATACATGTACTATGTATCAAGAGGCATCATTAGTGTACCACATTTTTTTGTGTTGCCACCATCGAGGCCACCATCAGTGGTGTTCGTATGGAATTTGACATACCTATTTTGGCAGACATTGATGGTACGCTACTGATTAATCTCAAAATTGAAGTCATTCATAAAATCCTCAATTATTTCTAAGCAAATTTGATCTATACAATGTTTGCAATCTGATGCATGGTTTTCGGTTGAAAAAATAAAACCTTTTTACTGCATGATTATAACAATATTATTAATATGACAATATCACAATGCAGCGGAATAGTTTTTATTTTTTAGGTGAAAACCGTGATTCGGACTGAAACAATTCAAGAGATCATGAACTATATATGGATTGTATTCCTGAAATTTGACCTGAAAAATAAAATCTATTTCTCTGCATTGTGGTATTATCATATTAAGGATATTGTTATGATCATGCAGAGAAAAGAAAGCGAAAATCATGCACCAGATTCAAAAAATTGAAGTGATCAAATTTGCTTGAGAATGATTGAGAATTTCAGGAATGATTTCAATTCCAAGATTGTTTAGTGGCTACCATCAATGTCTGCCAAAATGAGTATGTGAAATTTCATACGAATGCCACAACAAAAAATATTGTACACTAACTGATGCTTCTTGATACATAATATATGAATACAAAATTTCATTAGAATATCTGAAGTGGTATTACAGATATTAATGAAAAACTATTTTTATATCCTCAAATATTGACATTCAATTAGGAAACACCCATGCAGACTTTCAGATTATCAATTCGTCGTTGAATTGACGAGTCGTTAGGGAAGAAATTCATTGGAATTTTCAATTGCTTTTGAGTTGATCATCCCCCCAGTAAAATTATGTCAGGTATATATATTTTGGACACCTTGTATATACAATCATTTTCATGCAGTAAGCAGGTATTTCCATTGGTCATGATTTTAAAGCATAAATTCAATGAGAGAAGACAATCGCGTGAAATTGCATGCACATCCATATCCACAGCATTCTGAACTAACAAAAATAATCAATTTATTAATTCAGAACTACTCACATTTTATAATAATATGTTTTGTTTCAGGTCGTCTTAGTATTTATTCTAAGTATAGCATCTCTAATAATATACTTCATAGATGCCTCAAAGTAAGTTATTCTTTTTTACTTTATTATACATAAGTTTTCATTTCGATATAATGAACAGATGAGTGTTATCGATTGCTCTTCATGTTTCGTTGTGTCCGTCATTTTGTTTTATGAAAAATCAGATGAATATGGAGTTGACGTTTTGTCTTGTTGGATTCTCTTCCAAACACGACCAAAATCAAATGAATCGGTCCATTAATAAAAAAGTTATTTCTCGAAAACCAAATTTTGTTTTTTTTTTGACAACCCTATATTTCAAATAATTCGTATCATCAGTGACCCCGAATATTTTTCGGCGAAATCGAACGGAAGGACTATATTAATCACTCAAGATTTTGTTTTTCGGCAATAACATTGATGAGTCGTTAATCTATGCATTGACTAAACACGAAGTATGCTCTCAAGGTTTCAACCTAGTATTTTCGTGAGTTAGAAGAATTGCATCGATATGAATAAAATTGATGTCAAACAAAACCGCGAATATCTGTCTCAGTGGGTATTGTTGCTACCTTGACCGAGTCCTATAGAATGTGTGAAGGTATCAAAGTATAGGTACGTACTACTTTTTTTTGTCGAGGTGATTGAAATCCTATATGGACATCATATTGGTCTAATCCTCCATTTGATAGTGTAGGAGTCCCCTGTCTCCAGGGTATACCCACTAAACATTCCACCATGTTTGTAGGCTCGTCTGACCGATGTCTCCGACGACACTTAGGCCTAGTGCTAGTGGCCCATTGTATCTCACCTGTAGGTGAGGCATGTATGCCGTTATCAATTTTACCATATAGGACTCATGGTGCTTTTTAAGGGTCACTTCAATATAAATGGCCCTTTTCGATCAGGTTCTTAAAGATTACCCTTCCGATCCCTGTTCTCGTCTACAAAGAAGGCCAAAAGTTTTCCTTCTCCTACGAGTAACGGGGGGAGGTATCAGGCTCTCCACTGCGGCCAATGGCTCACCCTATGCTTATATTTCTTCCAGTATATCTAATCTCTTGACGAAATTGAGGAGTAGGTTGAGAAAACAATTTATCAGGTTTTCTGATCCTACTGTTGTATTGCCAAATGTTGAAAATCTGATTCTGGCCGCTGCAGGGCATGTACATAAAATGTGTTTAGCCGTTTCATCCTCCTCCATGCAAAGACTGCACTCTGCATCTTGTTCAAGTCTGATTTTGTGCATGTGGTGTTTGAGTTTGCAGTGCCAGTGAGCAAACCTACTATAACTCTGAGATGTGCTCTACCATGCTCTACTGAGTTCTAGTAGTTTGTCAGAGTCCTGTTTGTTTCTCGTACAAGCAATGGATGCATTGGAATGGGCTAGGCCCGGTAGACTACGTCAATACTAGAGTCTTTTGTTGTCGGCCCAGGATGTTATAACATTCTTGACAGTGCTATGTGCTATACCGATTACCGGTTCTGGTCCAGTGAACGATGTTTCGGCACCCTCTTTTGCTAGAACGTCCGCTATTTCGTTCCCTTCTAGTCCCGTGTGACCTGGTATCCAGACTAGGTCTACGTTATTGCGTTGTGTCCGTCGGTTTAAGGTTTCTCTGCAGTTCCATACTGCTCTGGATTTAAAGCAGTTGCATTCAAGTGCTTTCAGTTCTGCTTGACTATCTGAGAATATATTTATTGTTTTTCGTGTGAGTTGTCGATTTTCCAGCTCCCTTGCACACATTTCAATGGCGTATACCTCTGCCTGGAATACCGTAGCTACTTTACCCATACCGATTGAGCGTTTCACTATTGGGTTCATCCCGTATATGCCGGCTCCGACGCCTCTCAAAGTTTTGGATCCATCGGTATACCAACATTCATTTGCCATACATAGGCTAGTTAGTTAGTTAACCCAACCTAACCTAACGGGGGAAGGGGTTGGTCCAGCCCTGTGTTGCCTCCTGCACAGGGCTAAGGCTGTTTACTCTGAGATATCGCCCTGTTTCCCAGAGGCCCCGTTAGCGACACCATACCTCAGTGCTATTCATCCATCGCCACGGGTTCCCACAGCTTGGATTAGGTTGCCAGAGCCTCGTTGACCAGTCCTCGGCCACCTAGACAGATATAAGCAAATCGCCCCAACTTTGCCACAGATGTCCACAAATTATTGTCCCATCTGGCGCAAGACAGTAAAAATGGTCCCAAAATGCATCATCTGTCGAGCGACTGCGGTCTACAAAGGCGCTGAAAAGCCACCTACACTTTTTTTTTCGAATCCCGACTTTCTTCTCGGGATCTTGACTTTGAAGTCGGACCACCAACTTTAATCTCGGGATCCTGACTTTGAAGTCGAGGGTCCGACTTTAATCTCAGGATCCCGACTATAAAGTCGAGGGTTCGACTTTATTCTCGGGATCCCGACTTTAGAGTCGGACCCCCGACTTCAATCTTGGGATCCCGACTTCAATCTCGGGATCCCGACTTTAATCTCTGGATCCCGACGTTAATCTCGGGATCCCGACTTCAAAGTCGGACCCCCGACTTTATTCTCGAGATACCGACTCTGAAGTCGTCTCACCTGTACAGGATGTCTCTTCATATTTTGATCCCTACCTACAGCTTCAACTATACGAAGTGGAGAAAAGTGCAAATATAAAAGTTGTAGGGTTTCATCTGTACAATCTTTTTGCACCCTTTGAACAAAGAAATGCGAATCGCGAAATGAAAAAGAGAGTATAATGGAACATCCATCACAGAACTTTTGTGGATGTACATTCAATGTACAATAATCAACCAATAATCCGAACGTTACGTAGTTACCTATATATATGTACAATGATTTCACATATATTCGGTAATCATCACAGGATCGATCGAAAACCTCCTTTACGTCTTTGGATGTACACTGAATGTCGAATACTGGATCACATCTGTACGATCATTATCGTACGCACAGGGTGATTGTTTTTATTTTACTCAATAGCTAAAAATCTCATTGTTGAATAGATACAAAAAAATTAGATAATCGGAGTTGTTTATAGTCATATAGAATTCCTATTTTAGGTATATACTGTGCTAGTCAAAAGTCCCCTCCCCCCCTCGTATCTTTTGAACGGGTATACTTATAATAATGAAATTTGGAGGGTGGAAATAAACGGATGTAGGCTTCTCAACTGGTCATAACAGGTGACGCAATAGTCATAAATGACGTCACAAGGCCATTATTATAAGTATACCCGTTCAAACGATACGAGGGGGGGAGGGGACTTTTGACTAGCACTGTATATGCCTTTGACATACCAAACATACATTTTCTCAAATGGAATACTCTGAATTTCATTTCGTCTTTGGGTAGAGCTCAGGAAGATGAGTTCAAAGATATATGATAACACCCGTTTCGGACTTCTTCCATAACCTTCTTCAATAAATAGCCAAATTTCAAAGCCTTATAGAAACGTTGAGAATCAAGTTTCCGATGCGCAGCTTCCATCATAAATCAACAAATTCTTTATGTTATATTGATATTTGGTCAATATTTAAAAAAATTCAAATAACAAAAAGTTATGACGTATTTTGCAAACCGATCATTTTCAAATGGAACGCCCTGTATTTCATTTCATCCTTGAATAGAGCTAAAAAAGACGGATTCAATGATATATGATAGCATGGGTCTGAGAACACCCGTTTCGGACTTATCCATGAACTTCTTCAATAAGTAATCAAATTTCAAAACCCTCTAAAACCACTGTGAAATAAGTGAAAATTGATAAAAATATGATAAAGTTATGAATAAGTAGGTATAGTGATTTAGGATTAGGATCAACATGTTAACCATGACTGACATTACCTGCGCAGTTAGTGCACCTCTCACGGTTAGGTAACAAACCCAGTTTCTTCGACTTTAATGTCGGGATTCGACTTTGATTTCGGGATCCCGATATTGAAGTCGGGGGTCCGACTTTAAAGTCGGGATCCCGAGATTGAAGTCAAGAGTCCGACTTTAATGTCAGGATCCCGAGATTAAAGTCGGGATACGAGAAAAAAAGTATAGGTGGCCCTTCAGCGCCTTCGTAGCGGTCTGTTCTCCCCACACAACTTAATGGTGAGGTTGGGCTTGGAGGGGAAGAGGAAATGAGAAGTTGGCCAAGGAAGGCCGATAGGATAGATTGAAAAAGGAATAGATATGAGGATATGACCCAAGACAAGTTGAATTATGGTGAATATCCGGTTAGGGTACCTCGGGTTCACCATTCCCGTACTCACAAGTTGTGAGCCCCTGAGGGTATAGGTGTATGTTCTATACTGCCCTTTCAAATTTTGGTGGGAGAACTTGTTTTGTGTTCGCTCATCAGCTGAATCAATTTTTCTCGAAAACAGTAAGGTTATTCAACCTCAAACAAAAAGTCCTTTTAGATTTTGAATTATGTTCAAGATATCTGATGGTAATATATACCAAGGTTTTTGAATTCTTCGAAAATCTATTCTTAAAAAATTTGAGGTTTATACGTGCCTGCTCTTTTGATGATTTCATTGAAATCGGATTAAAGACCGTTATGCAGAATAAATGAAAACAAAAAGAGTTAGAAACTCGTTGTATTATGTTCATTTATATTCTACTCAATTATAAATTCTGTCTGTATACTTGAATGACACCCTGTATTTGTTTTTGTCTTTCATAAAATGAAGAAAAAGTTTGATCATCATTTTTATTTTCAGCGATGGAGTTGAACGCTGCCAAGAGTGGAGTGACAATATCACCCAACAAATCGACCTTGCCTTCAACATATTTTTTATGGTCTATTTTTTTATACGAGTAAGTATTCATTATGGATTTTCCATATTTTCTACTGAGTGATCAATATTTCAAACAAGAGATAAACCATTGTCCTTCTAGATGACAACCTAGTTAGGTAGTTAGTAGGCAGGAGCTAATACCTCCTCGCACTTGGTCGCTTACTAGGTTTTCATTTAGATCGACAATGGATAAACTATCGATGAATTATTGTAGGACTGCATAGGTCATAAATGAGTCTCAAGTGTGCACCTTGCCTTGAACAGTAATACATGCGCGGATCAAGTCATTTCATGTGAAGTCCGTGGCTCTGTAACAAAATAGCGCCAGACAAAATAGCGCCAGACAAAATGGCGCGTTCAAAATAGCGCTGAAACAAAATAGCGCGCGACAAAATAGCGCGCGACAATACAGCGCGCGGCAAAATAGCGTTATGCCAGGGCTCTACTGAATTATCATTCTTTGTTAAATCATAAGAAACTCTAGTGAACATGTTCCACCATGCAATGAGAACCGAGGTGGAATGTTGTGAAGCCTTCTTTTAATATGAGTGCTTTCCCAATAATCAATCACTGGCTGAAGTTCTCTCGGACACTTTTCAGTTATAATTTCAAAAGCAAACTGTACGTCATTCTCGGGTGCAAAGCTCAAAGAAAGTAACATCTTCAGTTTCATCCTTGTCACTTCATTTGTACGGTACACCTCCGTGAGTTTGTTTTCTTGAATTTTTCTCCAAAGACTTTGTCTCAAGTGAAAAAAACAGCATACTATACGTGCATCTGGAAACACTTTGGCAATGGCATTCATGGAAGCTGTTTCAAAGTCGGATAGAATACTTAGTGCTTGCTTGCTGCTTGTTACACAATAATGCATAAATAACTGGAACAACCATTCCATCAATGAACACTTATATTGTATACATCTGGATGAACAATTGTGGTGCGACTTTGAATGTACCATCTACTCCACAGTGATGAAATTCTTTGAGTAGATCTATATTGCTGCGAGTTCCGAACATAATTATCCTATTATCATATTATTAGAGTCCCAGAGCAAGAACATCTCCCCCCTTTCAGTTGTCTGGTGCCTACCTTCTATAACTATGTCTGCATCTGCAACACATTTAGACGAAGCTGTTCCTGAATGCTACCTATTCCTTTGACGCTGTATAGTTCTTCTTGCGGCATTGTAGCTATAGGAAGATAAATACAAGCTTCTGTCGATCCATTAGAAATCATAGCAAGGCGCTCTTATAATAATGAATATTTGTCAAAGCGCTGTATTGTCTCGCGATATTTTGTCGCGCGCTGTTTTGTCGTGGCGCTGTTTTGCCGCACGCTGTTTTGTCTGGCGCTATTTTGTCTGGCGCTGTTTTGTTACAGAGCCGAAGTCCGTATGACACGGGCCAGTTTTTCACTCATAAAATGGATCATTATTGAACACAATAATACATTCTGATCAATCTGTGGGGAAATCATGTGCTGTATGACACAACATAAGATCACAGATTAGATATTGTGACAAGGGGCATGCGCATGTTATGAAATAATATAATATGCAGATGCACATGATGCCGGTTGTGCGGGTATAGTAACCTCAAAATATATTTTTGGAAGAAAATATTCGAAATTGAGAAATGGTATAACTAATAGTACTCCTTAAAAAATATCTGTCTGCAGTTCTGCAAAAGTTGGTGGTATGCTCAGCGTATTTGTTCAAAAAAATCGGAATGGAATAATATAAAAAAATTGTCTCGTGAATCGCACCAAAGAAGAAACACCCGTGGGCTAGGAGTTCTGAATATGGTACAAAATGAACACCTTCCTGAAAACCCTGTATCACATAAGTATGTTCAAATTTCATAAGAATGAATAATAATCAGTTCACTTTTGTTCTGGTAAAAAAAACTAAATATGATACAAATATGCGAGAATGTATTTCACCAGAAATGAGGTAGTTACTCAATCCACATTTCATCTTTGTCAAAGCATATCAGCGGCTACTCGAGCGTTTCTGGGTGTTTCATTACAAACAAGACTGCAAAAAAACAGGGATATTTTTGGTATTCTTCAAAAGCACCAACATAAATGCTCCGAAGACCAAACCATCATTATAGAACTGATGTTATCTAAATTTGAGATTTGAGAAACAGTAAAATTAATTAGTGGATCATAACCCCAAAAATTGTTTCTCACTTCAAAACAAAATATACAATTCGAGGGTTAAATAACGGCGTAATGCGCAAGCGCTTCAACATAAAATGAATGAATAATAGGACATGTTCTATTTTTCATCCAATTTTGCATTCAGACTCTCTGTTTCTGTAATACACGGTGCAGTAAATTCTGAATACAAATTCTCTCAAATCGAAATGCGCCACATGTGGAACATTTTCTATTTCAGATCAGATGCCACCCAATTGGAAGTAACATTTTTACGACGGATATCTACCGAAAAATAGATAACTCACCTAAAATTAACACTGCGAAACTTTCTCGTACAAGAATAGTTCAATTCATTATGAGTAGGAGATTCGGTTGCAAATTTCGACCGTCATCTGATAACAAAGTGACAGGTCTAAGAAGCAAATAAAAACATAGTGGTTATTTCATCGAACCGGTACTAGTGTCAATCTCTATCCTAAGCAGAATGATTGCACTTTCCTGTGCGGTGATTTGAATTAAGTTTCGCGATTTGATAGAGAAATGAGAGTTATACCATCCGATACCAATTGAATGGTACATCTCAACACCCTATATCTGTGCCACCCCTCAATTTGAGTCGAATCCGAGACACAGACATATTTTTGCTGCCGGCTATCTGGATATACTTCTGTCACGTGATAATTAGATGAAAAAAGCAAATAGAAGGATATGTCTCCTTCGTGCATATCCAAAACGTGGCACGATTCAACCTGATATAAGATATTGAAAGATAATATCCGATGAACCATCGGTTTGATAATATGGTTCTGACATTGAAATTTACATTGTCGTCCATGAATGTATTGTAGGGAACAAAATACGGGGGGTTATTCATGTATTTGGCAAACTTTGAGGTGATATTTTTTTCAGAATATCTACAGCAATATTTATTTTATATCAAACTGACCGACTTTCCTTTGCTATCCATGCCCAGCAAACACGTTAAATCACTTGCTAGTTTCGCGAAGTCCCAGACATGAATTTAAGTTATCACTTAGGAATTCTACGACTTTTTCAACGGATAAAAACAACAAAGGACTTGATAAGGTTTTCAAAGACTTAGGATTTGAAAGCGTTTATGAGTGTGGGTCAAAGGTAGGCAATTTATTAGGTAATCCAGAAGATAAGGTGGACACACACATCTTTGAGATGTTTTTGTGGTCGCTGATGGGTAGGTATTCAATTTGAAGGTGTGAGAACCTGATGATGATGATGGATCTTATCAATAAACTATCCAGTTGTAGGGTTCTATACTAGAATTAGGTATTATGAAAATGGCTCCTCTCCTTATGAAATGTGTTTTTGTTTCAGTTCATAGCAGCTAGCGATAAATTATGGTTCATGCTAGAAATGTATTCGTTTGTGGATTACTTCACGATTCCCCCGTCCTTTGCCTCCATTTATCTGGACCGTACTTGGATAGGTGAGTTCACCATTCGTAAATGTACAGGGTGATTGTTTATACAGGGTGTCCGAAAATTATGCGCAAAAAATCAAGGGGGTGATTCTACATGATAAAGTAAGAAATTTTTATGCATACGTGGGTCCAGAAATGCATAGTTTTCAACATACAGTGTGTTAAAACTTTTAAAAAAGATCGGTTTTTCATGAATATCTCAAATGTCCTTCCACCGATTTTCTTGGAAATTGGCAATGATATTTTTCGTGATGAGGGGCTGATATAGTCATAATTCAATTGTAATTATGAAATCCAGTGGCGTCCCAAGGGTAACCTACCGAATTTAATTGTCAATAAAATGTGCGCCACTGATTTTTTTGAATTCTGTATCTTCATAAACTATTGACCAGCTAAAAATACAACAATTTGATTTCGTGAATTGTTTTGTTAACCAGTTTCATTTTCATGGAAACAATAAATACCAATCCATTGCATAAATTTGTGCCAACGAATTCCTTGAATAACTGGGGTGAAAATAAATGCGTGATCAATGTCCATCGACATAGAATAAGTTTGAAGATTAATTTTCTTCAAATATTTCTTGATACATGTATGACACACTCTACACTCTGTATATTGAGAACCATGTATTCTCGGTCCAGGAAGGCTTAGTTTTCGATAATACAAAGTGTGTCAAACATGTATTATAAAATATTTGAAGAAAATTAGTATTCATTCTTATTCTACGTCTATGGACATGGATCACACATTTAATTTCACTCCTGTCATTGAAGCAATGTTTTCCACAAATTTATACAATGAATTGTTTTTTCTTCACGGAAACGCAGCAAAATAACAAAACAATTCAGGAAAGTAAAATGTTGGATTTTTAGTTAATCATTAGGGTATGAAGATATAAAATTTGGAAAAATCAGTGGCGCACATTTTATTGACAAAAATATTCGGTACGGTACCCCCGGGACGATACTGAATTTCACAATTCCAATTTGATTATGGCTAAATTAGCTCCACATGACAAAGGATATCATTGCGAAATTTCAAGAGAATGGGTGAAAGGATATTTGAGATATTCATGAAAAAAACGATTTTTTTTAAAGCTTAACACACTGTATCCTGGAAACTATGCATTTTCTAACCTGAAGGACATAGGGTGTTAACAAATAAGGGTCACAATGGAAAACTGTAGAATCCTCATAAAAAAAGAGGAATTGTTTTCCTTCACGAAATTTTTATCAAATATAATTACAAAATTCAGTCTTTTGCTCTTATCACAGGAACCGTTTGAGCTACGGAGCTGAGTCATTAATAATGACTACTTCTAAGACTCGTAATCAATTTGCTCGGACATGTCAGTCGAGAAAAATGGCGATTAATGGATAATGACATACAAAATCCTACTATGATTTTTTATGATTTTTAGACGATTTTCAGAGATCCGAGGATTTTGTATGTTTTTATTCATAAATCGCCATTTTTCTCGAATACTGTTCACTTCAGAGCATTGAAGCAGAAGGACCTTTTTTGTGTGAAAGATATTGGCGCTTCAGAATGTGCTTTGAAAATCACAATTTCTCCAGTGGCGTACAAGTTTGGGAGGTTGAATCCTTACGAGGCGTTAAAATCTCCGCCACTGACATGTATAAGGAAATTGATTACGAGCTTTAGAAGTTCATTATCAATGATTAAGTGTGTACAAAGGCTCAGCTCGAATGATTCCTGAGATACGAGCAAAAAACTGATTTTTTTTTGACGCTCTGTATATTGAACACGGAAGCTAGGAGAAAAATTTCGTAAATGAAAAAAAAATCCCTTTTTTCATGAGGAATCTACAGTTTTCCGCTGTGACGCTTATTCGTTAACACCCTAAGTTTAGGCTAAGAATTTTGTGGAAATCTCATCGTTTGTGAAGTTTCTACATTTGCTATGAATTTCAATCAAGTAACGGCCGAGTCAATTAAAAAAATATCAAATATTTATTGATGGAATAACAAAATGAAATAAATGGTTGAAAACTAATATTACAATTATTGTTGTAATATAGCTATAGGTATATTGGATATTGAACAATATCCAATATTGAACATGCAATATCAAACAGCTTGGAACTGAAGTGAATCAGAGAAGGTATACCTACCTTCGTATTATTTCTCACTATGAATGATTTTTTTGTAGGTCTGCGGTTTCTACGAGCACTACGTTTGATGACTGTGCCAGATATTTTACAATACCTGAATATTTTGAAAACTTCAAGCTCCATACGCCTTGCTCAACTGGTGTCTATATTTATTTCCGTGTGGCTGACTGCTGCTGGGATAATACATCTGGTGAGTAATAAAAACAAACAGTACATTATTATGCTTTATGGTTTATTTAACTATTTATATAAAGGTTCTTCTGAATTGGGAAAAATTGAATTAAATGAATATTCTTTGACGTAAATGTGGTCACTTTGGAGACCTGCAGAACATCTCTTTCCAAAGACTCGTTCATCCAACGAACAGCGAGGCTCTGAAACACATTGCCAAAGGTGGTGTTCCCGAGGCATATAACCTGCAGAAATTTGAGACGAACACCAATTCCTACCTTAATTCCCTTGGTTCTCACGATGTTCTCTGAAAATAACAGGATATCCCTTTTCGTGGGAACCAGAACATAAAAAAAATAATACGCACTAGTGATATAGGAGGGGTAATACCAACCTATATATATCACTATTGAGAAAACGGAGATGGGTATCAGTTCAGTTCAGCCGAACAGAGTTGACCTTGAAATACGGTAAAATTTGATATACAGGGTGTTTGCGGTTCACCGTCGTATACATTGTGTCCAAAATAAGGATGTCTAACTTGGGTTTTCATTTTCTTCTGACGTCCTTCAAAGAAATATAAGAAAACAAAAGACACTTTGCCATTGCCACGTTTCGAGCCCTACAAAACAGCGTTGAGGGATTTTCCGTACCACGTTTCGTTTCGTAGAAACCATCATCATCAAATTTACCCCGTCGATAGACATTCTTATCTTGGACACAGTGTATATGAAAAGGGGGTGAAAGGTTGGAATATTTTGAACATATTTAACCATATATAGTATTAAACAGAGTCTCACGCATTTCGAGATAAATCGTTTTTTTTCGATTGGCAGCAGATATTAATTTTGCTGACACATATCAATCAGCAAAGTATTACTTTTCCTGCCTAGGCAGCGGAGTGGGTACTTTGCTGCCTAGGCCGCAAAGTGGTTACCTACTTTGCTGATTGATATGTATCAGCAAAATTGATAATCCATGAATCGTTTATAATTTCCTTCATATTTCATTCGAGACTTCTCCGGCAACAAATTCAACTCTATATTTTTGCCACCTCCCTTATTTCTGGAGGTGTAAGTACTTCCAGGTCGCTATCACTGTCCATTATATAATAATTTAAATATACCGATATTTTTTCGCACAACTGCCAGAATTTTCATGGATTGTCAAACTATAATCATCATGGACAACTGCGATATCTATCAAATTTCATTTTAATTGAACACTACAGGAAAAATAAAGAGATTGTGGGAATTGTAATAATTTGCAATTACGTAATTATTGAGGTAGGGTTCTGAAATTTGCCGGAGGAAGAAAAAGTCCAAAGATAAAGTCAATTACGTGAGATACGGGGTTGCTTCCATGAAAAATGCGACAAAATTTCACTTTTCCGAACTGAAAATTTTCCAGGAAAAATTTGAACAGTTAGTAAATTGGGCGTCCTGATTCCAAATCTGAAGTGATTTTCGACCTATTTTGACTCCTAATGTAATTTTCCGGAAATTGGGGTAGTTTCATGGCTGTTGGCGAGCAGTGTATATCACTGAAGATGACCCCACTTGATAGAGTGCATTTTTGGTATATCTCTCGCCCCAGCAAATTTCAGGATCCTTACCCAACGATTACGTAAGATACAGGGGTGGTTCCATTAGAAGTGGGTCACACTGTATATTCAAGGTACTTTGACATTTTCGCAATTGAAATTTATTTTAATTGTTATTGTTCTAACCAGTGCGGAAAGTAATTTTTCTCACACATATTGTGGCAAATTCAATCTTTTTCAAGTAATGTATGATTTATGTTTTCGCTACTACGCAGAATTTTGGAATTATTTCGTTGTTTCTGCGAATATATCAGAACGCACAAATTCTGATTCAGCACCCCCAAGAATATGGGGTTTACGATAATAAAATCGACTACTGGATTTTTTGCGAGAAAACAGCGTATTTTGATACTATTTGACTGGGTAGAGTGCAAAGACGCTGAGGTCGTAAAGGGAAGTGAACAAAGCATGGGTTCGAGTCCTACTCAGGTCATGGATGTTTGTGTATGTATGTGTCCCTAACCACGCACATGTTTTGACTTATGAGGCATTGGTTCCAGTGCTGGGACTAACGAAGGAATACAATAAAAAAATATTGATATTTTTCTATCCATCATGATTATTTTCATTCGCGGATTGGGCATAATATTGTCCCAAAAAAGCGATAAGAGATAGTACGTATGTTTTTTTTCTACATCTCGTGTTGGATTGAAATTTCCGTAGAAGTCACTACATAATAAAAACCATTGTCGTTCTAGATGACAACCTAGTTAGGTAGTTAGTAGACAAGAGTTGTACCTCCTCGCGTACTAGGTCGCCTACTAGGTTCTCATTTAGATCGCTAATAGATGGACATTAGCTTCACTCAAATAGCAAACGATAAGCGATGGCATAGTCTTCACAAAGTCACTTGAGACAGCATGTTTTAAAGATATCGGTCCCTTTGAAAAGTTCAAACGGACCGCTTGCCGCCAGCGATATTCTTTGCTGAATTTGTCTCATGTGACTATGTTTAAGACTTTACCAGGTGGCTGTCATGGATCGTCAACGTTTGCAATTACTTGTTTTTATCTATTTATGACTTAATTCGGGAGACTTTGCTGCATCAACTATAGTAAAGAAAAAACACTCACAGTTTGAGTTCTTTTCAATAGGAAGTTCAAAGAATTGAGACTACTAGATTCATAATCAATAGTAAAATATATTCGAATTTTTATGTTCAACTTCCAATTAAAATTTGCCAGTTTTCCAGGCTTTTTCAAAATCAAAACTCATCATGACTCCCCACTGCAAGAAATATTCATTTCCACCTTTTTTTTCGATCATCAACTACCTTTAGCTCTAGGTGATTTTCCAATGAACTAGGGCATCATCAACCCTCGCAGCGCTGAGAATATGTCAGGCCGATAGAACAAAACTAATTATCCAAGGAACCACATTTTCAAAATATTCCAATGTTACGTTCTCCAGAAACGTCTCATGTACCATTCACCGTGAATCAGCCTTATATCCACGAACGCATATATTTGAGAGAGTTGTTCTCAAAATTGTGCTTCAAGCGGTCTATCTCTCGAGTCTCAGCCCGAATCAAAGTGTTACATGAGCTAAAGTTACGCACAGTATTTGAATTTGAACTAAAATCGATCTGACACTTCTGTCACATTGCATTTGTTCATTGTGTAATTGCATTTTATTTAAAGTTTCGATTGAGTAAGTTTGGAGCACGATTTGGAATATGAGGAAGTGTATGAGATCAAAAAGGAAATTATTTGTTTTATACCGGGTGGCTACGGAAGTATTGCCTACGGAATATCTCAGTTATTGTATGAAGAAGGTTTGTGAAATTTGGAGCGTCGATATAATGACATAAGAGCTAGAATTTGAGCATATTGACATGTCGAAGTTAACTTCCGGTCTGACCGGAAGTAACATCAACTTTCTTATTTTGAATGGAAACCCTATTTTTCTCCTTTTCGCTTTATTCAGCATTCAATTCCCTTTCTAATGACATATCACAAATTGGTATCTAATCATAAACTAGATCAGAAAAAAATTAATATTGAAATTCACCGAGTAGGCCTTGGAAGCAAAATGAAAGCCAAAAATTGAAACGTTGGCTATGGAAACCATACGTCACTTGATAACAGTTGCTACTACTGTGATATTTTATTTTCATTCGTCGGCGTTATAAAAAGCCGCCAAAAAAAATATTGGAAAAATTGGGGAAAAAACAATACTCTGTAGGTCCATAACTTAAATAGGAACATACAACTTTTTCTTGCCTGTACTATTCAGCATAACCATTCCTTTCTAATGATATAATAGAAAGTCATTTTTTGAAATGAAATACCAAAAAATCCAATTATTATTCTTCTACTCGGTGAATTTCAATAATAATTTTTTTCTGATCTAGTTTCTGGTTAGATACCAACTTGTGATATGTCATTAGAAAGGGAATTGAATGCTGAATGAAGCGAAAAGAAAAAAAAATAGGGTTTTTATTTAAAATAAGAAAGTTGATGTTACTTCCGGTCAGACCGGAAGTTAACTTCGACATGTCAATATACTCAAATCCTAGCTCTTATGTCATTATATTGACGCTCCAAATTTCACAAACCTACTTCATACAATAACTGAGATATTCCGTAGGCAATACTTCCGTAGCCACCCGGTATAGTAGTGATGGAGACATTGATTAGTTACTTCTAGGTAGAGTCACAGATCTTATACGTATTTCTCTACCAAGGAATCAAGCTGAAGCCAATTTATTTTATTAACTTCATTTATTTTATCCCACGGGAGGTTATATTTTTTTCCTCCTATGGGAGTAAATTGATAGATTTGGGTCTTTAAATGAGGGAGCAAACGCTTACTTTTGATGCAGTGAGTAGACACACTCATTCTTCTACAATCGTCTCAAAAGTCGTCCATTATTGCTATAAAATCAGCTCTTGAAGTTGACGTTTCTCTTACTGACTCAATGAAATGATTAGTATGTTTGTTGCTAGGCAACACTTTTGGTGTCTAGGAGCAAAGTGACTCAAAATAGTGCTATTTTCACTTATATTTTATTGATAAGATATCAATTCTTTCGATTGCGGGAAAAATAGCATGTTTCATTCGGATCAAAAGTGACAATTATCGCTTGTCAAACAAAGTGTCTGTCACATTGGATCCTGATAAAATGACAATGTACTATTTTCAGCTGGAGAATTCTGGAGACCCACTGGACTTCAGCAACCCCCATCCATTGCCATACTGGACCTGTGTATATTTTCTCATAGTCACAATGTCGACAGTTGGATATGGAGACGTCTTCTGTCATACGGTTTTGGGAAGAACATTCCTAGTATTTTTTCTTCTCGTGGGTTTGGTAAGTAAGCCAATACATTTCATTCATATATTGACTTCAGATATATACAGGGTGTTTATATTTAAGGGAATAAAAACTTGTTACTTGTATAGTCTCCGGGTGAGCTTGATAATCGATAGTAAATAATAATTACTACTTCATTCAAAGTCTTCCTGTCAAAAAATCAATAATGATGATTTCAAAAATGAAGAACACCTATAATATATTACACTATTCCCATTAATATTCAATTTTCACGGAAAATATAATTTCAAGAGAAACATCCTTTATATACATTCAAACAATAATTGTTCGATGTGGCAATGTCAAGCTTGCAGCTTGTGGGGCTGCTATGTATTTTCTAAACTAAAATATTTCAATCGAAGTGACTTGATTTTGCAATGTTCTCTCTTTCCACTCGTATTTCATCTCCATTACTAGGTTACTGACTACCTAATGGGGTATGTATTGAGTACTGAAAATAGAGTTCTTGTGTATTCATGAATGAAGTGAAGTTATCTTCATTTCAGTGAACAGAGAAGTCAAAAATGTAAAACAATGTCACACATAACACATATAATAATCAATCTTTATCACCGTTCTTAGCGAAAAAAAATGATGATATTCAGATGAGCAGAAAGCGGTCATTGAAGATACATCAAACACAATTATACCGGGTGACACAGGTTATCGGGCCACCCTTGTAACTTTTGCATTCGTCAACGGATTTTCCTGAAATTCGGTACAGTTATATAAGCAACTATTTCGGATTTGATCACTTTACAATCCAATATGGCGGACTTCCGGTTTTTCTGGAAATGCCAGCAATTTTGTTTTTTCAAATGGAACACCCTGTATATTTTTACATATTCAAGTTCAACAGGTCAAAACAAGTGCAATCTTCATGTCAAATGTCATTTATTCCACAGCCTACCTAGTTGAAAAATTATTCTAACTGCAAGGAAATTCATAAACTAGTTGTTGATTTTTGAATGTAAACAATTTGTTACTGCACCGAAAAACAAAAATGATATGTCATTTTGTTCCTTAATGTATGTTCTAGAGAAACGGGTAGGTGGCCCATAGGGGTTCCATTTGAAAAAAAATAATTTTTGATCAAAAAGTGATGTGGCTGAATTTATTCCTGGATAAGTGACACAAAAAATAATTTTTCAGAAAAAAATATGTTCTTCTGTTATGTGTGACTCATTGTGGATAGTCTTGACCACATCTCATTTATCCACGAGGTAAAATGAAAAAACAATTTTAATTGAATTTTTTTCGAAAAAATGGCATTTGAAATAAAGATTGCATTTGGTTCGACCTGTTGAACTTGAATATGTAAAAATATATAGGGTGTTTCATTTGAAAAAACAAAGTTGTTGGCATTTTCAGAAATACCGGAAGTCCGCCATATTGGATTGTAATGTGATCAAATCCGAAATAATTGCTTATATAACTGTACCGAATTTCAGAAAAATCCGATGACGAAAGCAGAAGTTACAGGGGTGGCCCGATACCCTGTGTCACCCGGTATATTATTCATTATATTTCAATGCCACAGTATTCTCAAACTCAAGAACACAATGTATAGTCAGTGAGATCCAAATAATATTACAAAATGTGTGTTTCTTGGTAAACACAAATATATATATTCCTAATAATCACTTACAGTAACAGGAAGTCTCTGAATGGTCTATACAAAACGCTTACATAAAATTCCGAGTCTAATTTATGAGGACCTATTCTGAAAGTTGATATAGTTTCTATTATCATTTTTTTATAGAATGAGAAATCAAAGAATTTCATTGATTACTGTAACCTGGTCCTATAACTATCATTCCCACTATCGAAATCTCAATATATCATCTTTATAACAGCCTCACTGCCGAATTTCGTGCAAATCACGTTGAGGAAATTATTTGCGAAATTTTCGAGGAAAAACATCTATGGAATCCTGAATTTCGCGAACTATCAATTTTTAGCCTTAGAAATACGTGTTAGCGTTTCTGCAGACCATTTAGAGACACTCTGTACATATATACATTACTTTATACAAAACGCTCAAAAATTCTAGCAATGAATATGAAAACATACTTCGATCAATTTTACCTAATGTTTTCTGGATCATCTGACATAGCTAAGTAAATCAGTTTGCAAAAAATGTTAATAATCAAAAATCCTTTGAAATCGACTAACTGAAAAATAATTGTATGAAAACCTATCCATCCTTCACCCTCTGACACTCTCCTCGGCGATTCTATCCATACATTTACTTTATTTTTATCGGGAATATATATGTACCAGGTGTCCTACTATAGGGTTGTCCAATGGCGGAATCTAAGAAAATATTCTCCTGCAGCTTTCAAAGGAAAAAGACTATGATGAAAATTATTGACTACTCGGACTCGGAGTAATTATTTCTGTCAATCTAATAAATCTGCCGCTTGACGACCCTAGTGGAACACCTGATTTATCATCTCCTTTGGAAGTACACAGGGTGGCCCAGGTCTGAATAGCAGGACTTTTCCAATCGATAGAAATTCCCATTTTATAGGAAAGACATGTCCCGTAAAAGAAGTTGTACATGGGCTTATTTGCGAAATACATGGCATTGAATTTGAAAACATGAAAAGTTGTCTGTTGTGTGACTGGCATAGTACTAATAAACTGTGAATTACGGATATTGAGTAATCTGAACAGGTATTTTGAATGAACTACTCGACATCTATTTCAAATCGAATCCGATTATTTTGATTTGTTTCTTATAAGCGGAAACGTCTCCTCGACTTACAACTTGGTGGTCCTGATGATACCACCTATGTTTTTATAATTATTACACATAAATATCCTATTAAGGACCACTGTGACTCGAATCTACCAAATAATTCTACCAATTATTCTGGTGTACCTACTTATTGATTAACCAGAATATGTCTAATAGTTGATCTGTATGTAATAAAGGTCAACAAAACATTTTTCCTAGACATGAATAGCCCTACATCTTGCAAACGAAGTTTTCTATGACCTATGGTTAGGGAATTCTTTTGCTCGAAATGAAGTTTTTTATCGCTCGATGATATCTTGTGATTCAAAACTGTGACACCCTTTATTTGACACTTTCAAGTGATGCAACCAATCAGTAACTAATCGCTTTTAGAATAATACACATACAGTGAGGAGGCTTCAACTGGAATAAATTCACTAGCGGGGAAGAGAATACTTTTTCTAAAACTTTTCGACACACATCAATGGTTTATAGTTATTTATGAAACAAGGAAACAAGTATTTTATTTCAGCTCGAGGTTGTGTTGTGTCCCGACGTTTAGCGGAGGGATACAAAAAACCGAGAGCTAAACTCTAATATTTTCCCGTGTATAATTAGTTATTTATTATACAAGGGAAAAAAGCAGTAGATTTTAGCTCCAGGTTGTGTTGTCTCCCGACGCGTAGCGGAGGGAGACAAAAAACCGTGAGCTAAAATCTAATATTTTTCCCGTGTATAATACACTATTTTTTTCTGTGACAGAAGGAAGGACGAATCAATATTGAGAAGATATTACATTATTTCGAAATCTGAAAATTATCGACGTGAAATTTCAAGTTTTTAACAGTAGGGACACCTGCGTTTTATAGACATCTTCATCATTCTTTTGAAGTAATCAAATATCTGATGTCACTTCTGTCAGTTCAATTCTGTGATTTGATTTTGAAAAATTGGGAATTCAGTAGTTGTTTAGTGATATACGAAACCGCGAAGTCGAATGGAAGATAAAAGGACTTGCAGTTCTTTCTCGGAGACGGTATTATTGACTCATTTTTCGGAACTATAGCACAACAAAAGCCATTAACAGAGTATATATATGTGATATATATCCGGGAAAAAAGTACTCACTTTTTTCCCACGGGAAAAAAGTAATTTATGAAAAGTGACATTTTATAACCTGCCAACAGAGATGAAATGCCAAACTTTTTTCCCGTCACAGAAAAAACACTATTTTTTCTGTGACGGGAAAAACGACGATTCAATATTGAGAAGATATAACATCATAATAAAATCAGAAAATTAACTGGTAGTACACCTGTGTTGCAGGCATCTTTTTGTAGGCATCTTCATTGTCGCTTTTGAAGTAATTTTAACAAATTGCAAACGTTGTTTAGTGATTTACGTAACCACGAAATAGAATGGAAGATCCCATTCTTTCTTGGAGACGGTGTTATTGGCCCATTTTTCGGAACTATAGCACAAGCAAAGCCATCAACAGTGCACCTATATATCCGGGACAAAAGTACACACTTTTTTCCCGTGGGAAACAAGTAATTTATGGAAAGTGGCATTCTTCGACCTGTCAACAGACATAAAATGTTAAACTTATTTCCTGTCACAGAATATAGTTATTTATACACCAAGGTACTAAAGAATATCATTACTACCCAGGGACCAAGATCATATTCCGAGGCTTCAGCCGAGGGGTATAAGGTCCCGTGGTTATAATTTTCTTTCCTACCAAGGTGTATATTGAATTTTTTCCACCAACTAGCAATATATTTCAATCATTATAGTTCTGTGAAACTGAAATGTGGACCTATATGAAAGCAATTCTTTTCAATTATAATTAAAATCTAGTCATCACCATGACAGCATATGACAAGACATTATAGATGAATACCTATACTAGATTCGAGTGCCATTTCTGTGAGCACCAGAACAGTAATTTCGGGTTAATTATAACAGAGGTATGTCTTCATTGACTATTGGTTCATAAAACGACGAAAACTACCTTGGTAGTTGAAACACACTTTACACCTTCGAAAGGGGTGAATAATGGTAGGTTCTATAGCTTGTGGTGAAGAAATAGCTATTTATATATCAAGGAAGCAAAGGTATCCATTTCCTCCCGCTTGTGAAGATTGATGCCCGACGCGTAGTGTGGAGGAAATGAACCTTTGCTCCCAAGATATATATAAATGATATTATTCACGAACTCATATATTTGAGAGCGTCGTTCTTGATACTATTA